GGTGGGCTGTTCGCCAGCTGGGGACCAATCAAATACAGAAACTTGATGTTGGCCTCCAGGCAAAAAAGAAGATCAGAATAACATTTTGATTTTTTTTTCTTAAATATGTTATGTCCTTTGTACTACAAAGAAAAAGATGTGAACTATATTTCTACATTTTGATAGCAGTAATGACATTTTTTCTTTCTTCATTACAGCAGACTATCAAAGAATGTATAATTAAAACCATTTAATTTATTCAACAATTAGTATGATATTTACTGTTTCTCAATGGTCCTGCAGTCATGGATCCATCCATTCGTCCATCCAGCTGACTTAAAACCTAAAATGTAAAATATATATATATATATATTATGGTGTTTTGCATAAAAATTTTGCTGCAATACATTTAGAACTTTTTGCTATCCTGAAATTTTTCTGAAACTTTTAAATTTCAGAATTCTTTTGCGCAGTAACTCAATTTGTCAGAAAAAATATATTTCAATTATATTACGTATAATCCAACTCAAAAGTGGCATAAAGCAGCAAAAATAGGTGAGAATTTTCAGCGAATATGTCATATTGAAACATTAACAGGTTCTACTAGTATTAATGTTACTAATACTAATACTAATACTAAGGACTGATAACAGGATGACCTCTGACTGAACACCAAGGAGTAAATGGGGTGTAATTTCCTTAATAAATTGATTGTTTCTCTACATGGCAGAGATACTTAAATGAACATACAATAAACTCCAAAATTAATCAGTCATGCTGTTGAAACTGATATGGTTTGTTTTTTAATAATTTTTTTTATGACGTATCTCTATTCAGAAGGAATGCTTCTGAAAAAAAAAGACACCTAACAAAACCCTATTTTGTTTCAAAAAAAGTTTTCAGATGTTTCAGTTTGGGGGTATTTCATTGCACATATCAGAATTATCATGTGTTACTGTTCATAAATTAGCTTCTTGAATGTAGCGCTTCAGAGGACAAGTCTGGAATTTCCATGTGAAATGTATCAATCATGATGATGGATTTAAGATGAAGGACAGACTTTTGCATTGAAGAATATGGGGATGTGTTTGAAAACAATTCATAAACATTAAAGACCATCTCTTGTACTTTTTACAGTTTGCAAATGGTTTTCCATTTGAAGCCTCAGTATGTTTCCATGTCTAAGCAGGGGCGAATACACTATCTGTTGTTTATTTCTTCTCTCGTGCAAGTTGCACAAGACAGTTATTTTTGCCTGTTTACCCTCCTTCTGATAACATCCATATGTTGGTGTTCAGTATAACTCTCCTTGCTCTTAACAATGCTTCAGCAAGAGTACATCCTCAGTTTGGCGTGTTGTGGTCTGAGACGGGAGTGCCCCCGTCCCTGAGGTCCCGGGAATCAATCAGAACTGTGAAAGTGGATCTTCTCTGGCAGGACATGTTTTAAACGTCCCCTCTATTACCTCTGTGCTGCCTAGCAACTATTGCCACAGTCATAGGCTGCTGTTTGCATGGTGACCCCGGCTGAAACAATCCTATTGGCTGAGCAGGCAGGAAGGTTATTCCAAAGTCCTTTGGGAATGCTGTGCCAAAGTGAATGTTCGTAGCGTGTGAGGGCACAGAGAGAGGAAAGAAACCTGTCAAGGACTGAAGGCAGATGACATAATGATTCAGGAGAAGTAGAGATAAATAATTTCAAGAAAGGTGGTATAGGTGTATGTGTTTAGATATATGGACACATGTCCGCCTGTTTGTCTTTGTTCACTTGTGATGATTCTGCCATTACCTTGTTTTTAATAGAAGTCGTGAGAGGATATAATCTTTGATTGCCATTTACCGCCATGTCATCTTGCATCTTTTGTGCATTTATAAAAATTTCAGTCCACAATCTGCAAGAGTGGACTGCAGTCCTTGACAGGTTTTCTATTGCTGAAATAATCATGCTTGGGGAAATTTTGTGTGCAACTTGCTACAACCTACATAATAGACTCTGAAAATATGGAGAAGGTTGCTTTGGTCAAATGAGACATAATTTGAATTCTACTCTTAACGTAATAGCCAGAACTTGACAGGAAAAGTTTGGATCAAAGCAAATCATTATGCTAGAATGGATTTGTCAAAATCCAGACCCAAATTATTAAAACTTTGAAAAGTTCAAAGGGGTGGGAATGCTTTTAGAAACCTCTGTAGAACACATCCAAACCACCTGTCAATCCTCAGAAGTGCATTAGTTGGATCCACCCATCCAATCTCATAACATCTTGAATTTTATTCAGCAATTTTTCTTCAGTACAGCCATCTTTATGAATCAATGCATGAAAAAGGTAACAGACAACTTTTAAAAAAAATTTTTTGTGGACACAGATTGGCAAAGTTCATTCATGGAGGGACAATTCAAAGGTAAATTTTTCTCACTTCACATTTCTTGATTGGGAGGTCGACACACTAACATGGTTCTCATTAGTATGAATCAACAGGGAGCAAACAGCATGGAGTCTAAATTTTCACGACTGTGCGGATGGAAGATTTTGACTACCTTGCCCTATAAATAACTCCCTACATGACATAACAAGATTCATAGAAGTTAGCTTCAAATGAGGCCAGATGCCTTGGCACAGTCATAAAGCGCACATGGACACAGGAATCACTAAGTCAGCAGTTTGGGTGCTTAGCACCTGCACAACAATGCTACCTGAAAGCAGTGCCCTGCAAAAGTTTTTTTCTGCAAGACTGCAAATCTTACAACAATAAATAATTTTTATCTACTTGCCTAATATCTTTAATAAATTACTTGCAAGTATTGTGCACAACATATAACTACAGTAGTGAATGGTAGATCCAAACTTCAAAATCCCGATGCAGTTTTTTAAAGCTTATGCTTAAGTTTTATTTTGCAGAAGATTGTGAATGTTTTTGTATTCAAATGGAAATAAATCTCTTTGTCAAAAAAAAAAAAAAGTTTATTCAAACCATAAAACATTAACTCTCTGGGTTACTGTTAGAAGCAGAGCATATTAAAACATGGAGCTCTGATCCAATGTAATCTGAATTTAAAAATGAATAAGGTGTTGCAATACATTTGCAGAAGTGTGCAAACCCTTAAAAAACTCTTGGTTAAAGCAGTCTTTAACCCATTTTCAGCATTCGGTCTTGTTCAGTAGAACTCTGTCAGAATGATAAATCTCGACTGAGCCACTTTTTTTCCCTACGTCACCGTGCAAAGATCCATCAAATTTGTCCGCCTGGGAGGATGTATCATGTCCACAGCCCTTTTCTTGTTCAACAGATTTTCTGTCAGGTTTTGTTCTTTAGTTCTGGACTCTTCAATTTTCCTCTGACAAAGTGGTTATTTTTTTATTATTATTATTTTGATGTATTGTTGGACTCACTGTGATTGATAAGAAATTGAATCCTTCTTCATCATCAGCTTTCTCACAGACACCTGCTGGTTTTGGGTCAAAAGGAGAAATTTATTCCTAGAGCACGATGCGGTCATCACTGTCTTTCACTTTGGGCATTGTGATTTTGGGAATTTCGGTTGTTTTTATGATATGTAGAGCTGCTTTTGTGCCAAATAATTGTTGGACTCATAACATATGACCAAGTTTAACTGTGTAAAACCATAACATTTTGAATTGGAACAGTGGAAGTATTTCTTCTCAAGAAAGTACTACCTGTGCTGTGGTATATCCATCATGCATTTTTAACCTATTAGCAAAAGGAGCAAATGTCAGAAAAATCATAAAAGAACAGCAGAACTTAAGAATCAACATGTGCTTCAACATAGTATTTGGTGTGTGGTGTGCACAGGTATGCTTTTTTAATCTTTTTTTTTTTTTTACTTTTTTTGCAAAAAATATGTTTTTGAAATGGCACATATTTACTGCAGCCCTTCTTCAAACAGTTCTGGATTGTTCAGTGCTATGCAGCACACCCTTAGTCGGTTGTTTTTTGTTTTTTAGCTGTGTGTTATTCTGAGACTTTGGCAGCAATAAAAAGATGAGCCCAGTGGAAGCTGTCATGAACATCACACCTGATATCTCATCCTAGAACCAGCTTGAGTCGGCCTTTGTTGTTTTTTGGGAAAGAAAAATGCTCTTTAACAGCTTTCCAATAAATATTACAGGTTGTTCCAGCTTGGCTACATTTTAAATGTAGAACTGTGAAAAACAAGTGTGTGGGATTTCTAATTTGAGAAAGTCGCAACAATATTTTTACTTGTGATGTTGGTCTTTTCATTCTCAAATTTCATCTGTTTCATCTTTTCTCTCTCTTAATTAATAAAAAAAAACATAAACACATGCAACACTTCATTCTGTGATACTGAATCAAACACTATTTTATTAAAGAAGTACTTTCTATACAGATTTTAAAATAGCTCCTCCTGAAGGATCATTTTACTGTCTGCTGCTCTTGCATAAGAACTTTCCTGTCCAAGTTCTTCCTTGTCTCTTCTCTGTCTGGTTTATATCTGTTGCAATGTGCCTAACAAGAGAGCTGACAGCCTGAGACAAGGGGCTTTTTCACAAACCGTAACTAGTTAGCTTGATGACTAACCCTGCACTTCAGACAGTTCTCACTTTGAGCTGAAAGTGGAGGACCGTGGCATTGAACTCTTACAAATTTTTTCATTTAGCTGGAGAAAAGCTGCTAACATGGTCCAAGTCAATTGAATTTGTTGTTTTAAATGGTGCAAATTACCGTATGACACTTAGGTGCCTGATTTATGTCGGATTTGTCTGCTCTAACAGCTGCCGCTCTAACTGCTTCTCAACCCAAGGACTGTGTGAGTGTATGATTCCCATAAATAATGAATACGTATATTTGAGGATCAGAGCGAATTTATCACCGGAGATCAGAGAGAATGCAGTAGCACCGCGTGGTGCGATCAATGAGTTCACAACTGCAATATCAAGCACGTTGAAGCTTAAATCAGTGCAATGTCAGAGATCCCCAATCATCTTGTTATAGGATGTGGTATATGCCCTCACTAACAGGTGATTTTTATGCTCTTTGCAGAAAGCTCGCCTGGCCAGGATACGGCTCTCAAAAACAGAAAGCTCGAGTGCCTTCCTCCACAGCAAGCGCAACGGCCTGTTCAACGAAGCTCTCGAGCTCACGGTAAGACTCGCCTCAGCGCCACATCGTTTATTATTCCAAGAAACAACCAGCCACACAGGATGTAGTTAAAAGTGTACATATTTTAAGCAGTGACACATGAAACCTGACCCGTGCTCTATCTGAGATTCTAAATTCAAGCCTTGCTCCCTAATATCCATTAATTATCCCAGCATCCCTTCGGAGGAACTAACTGTGCTTGCGAGCGGCACATTTAATGTGAGCATCTCTGAGCCCAGCTGCCCAGCTGAGGAACAGGCTTGGGGCGATGTAGCACGAAATGTAAACACAACACAAGGATGTTCGCTGCCTCTCCAAAATCCAGTGGTTTACAAGCAAGCACTATAGTGGCCCCGGGGGCTGACACAGCACAAAAACAAGTGTTTGTTCCACTTTTATAACTCGGTCTTCCAGTGTCTTCTTTGCTGTATCTCTCTCCAGCAGAACTGGTGAGAACACAATCAGATTGGCACCAGTGAGACTTGTTGGCTGAGAAACACACAACACATTTACAGCAAGGCTTTGGAAACTATAGACCTGTGACTGTATTTGTGGAAAAATGTTGTAGTGTTTTACTATTAATTAGGAGAAAGTGTCACATGGTTCCAGTTATATACAAGTAAGAATTTCTATTTTTACAGATTAAGTCAAAGAAAATACCTCCTGTTCTCATTGTATACAGAACTCCATGTCCCAAAAGTTGAGTTTTTATGCACTGTGGCAAAAAAAAAAACATTATTTTTGTGCACTTTAAGTAAATAACATACCAGCACCACTTCCAACACATAAAAAAAATGTTCCATAAACACTTTTATTATCAATAAAGTCAGTCCCAACATAAAGACTTTGTTCAAGTAATGTGGCATAATTATTGTTTTCTTAAAACAAAATGGTTGCCTAGGGTGTGTGTTCTAACTTTTTAAAACTCCTCATTTATATATTTTTCAAGTGCCGCCAAACTGAGATGTTCTGATCCAATGTCATACAGACTAACACAGAAATATGTTAAGTCAGAGGTTTCTCACAAGCCCAGGCCTCACAGTCCAATGCAGTCGACAGAGATATGACATTTTGTGATCACTGCTGTGTGTGCATTTATGTATGTGGCTCATTAAATATTTCCCTCAGACAATACAATAATAACTCCTTGTTGAATATTTTTCTCACTGTTTTTTAAAATTTTGAATGAAAGAGAGTTAATTTTGTTTGATGTCATTATCAAGATTTAACATCAGCGTTAAATCTAACGGAACAAGTAGCAAACAGCACTTGGTCCTGGTTACTTGTTACCTTTTCCTTTGTGAAGCTTCTGATCAAGCAAAGAAGAAAAGAAAAAAAAAACGTCTTGTTGGTTCTTATTGATCACATTTTGTGTTTCTCTTAATATTATCTGAGGTTTCTGTGACAAACCGCTTTACTATACCGCTTACCTCAGCAGTTCAGGGTGGTTTGAGAAGCAAGGTCAGACAGATGGTTTTTACTGTCGTTTCTGATGACTGCATGAAAGTTAAACAAAATGTTAACGGCTGTCAACTGTTTAATCGTTAGGAGGTTTTTTTTATTCACAGTACGCCCGGCACCACGCGGAGCGACACAATGTGTTTTGTCACCCGGCAGCTCAAGCTGTTTCCACTCTACAGTATGGTGGCCACCTGGGTAGTGAGGCATGGCCGCCTCCAGATAGATAGACTGCTGATACGGACCTGTAGTCATATGTATGGAGGGCGGTGGGGGGGACAGAAATAGCTTACACCTAAACACCTGTGCTCTTCTGCTGCTTTAGCTACAGATAAGCAACCGCGATACGAGCGAGTCGAGGAACACCGAGTCAATGTACCGTCTCAGCACAGAAAGCCTCTGTTTTCAACACCAGCTCAACAAGCAGAAAGATCCTACTACAATTCTTCCTAATGCGGCATTTTGCTTGCTTATCGCTGTTATGAGGGATGACAGCAGTACTTTTCACTGAACTACAGGTACTTCTGGGCAGCATAGAGGGAACTTATTACAAGACTGTGAGTAAATCATAACAGGAAAGAGATAACAGGAAAAGAACACTGATGAGGCATCTCAAAAAGGATCAATGTGACAATATTTCCAGCCTTTACTGGGTCATTTTTTTTTAGATTATTTTGTGTTAATTTAAGGTTGAGCTAAATTATTACCCCAAATCTCACCAGCACCAGCACCATGTGAACTCACAAAAAGGTATATTGCGGTTTTACATTTGTTCACATCTTGTTCATCAGTGTTTCTCGCTCAGCTTAGTTATAACCAGAACTTCCTTCAAATATCTGCAGAGTTGGAAGTACCACCGACATTTCATGCAAACTTTTTTTTATGCAAGTCAACACATAAATGTCAGTTCAGTGGTATAAAGCATAAGGAATATGGTAAACAAGTCATTAGATAGTTCCCTTTAGCGAACACAGACAAGTAGGCAAAATGTCATAATGGAAATTTTATGTGAACTGTTTACTGTGTACACTGCAAAAAATGAAATCTTAGTAAGATTAAATAGCTTAAATTAAGGAGATTTATGCTTGTTTTTTTTTCTGACAAGATATTTTTCTCACCAAGAAATGTCAATATTTACAAAGCAAACTTCAAGTCTGGAACTTATTTTATCTAAATGAAATTTTTTCATTTCAAGGACAAATAATACTTAACAAAATCTCTTCACATAATTAAAACAGACTGTCCAAATGGAAGCCCTTGTGTTATTGTCAACATGGATAAAGATGGAAGACCTTTTTCGTGTATAGATCCTACAACTGTGGTACTGAGAGGTAAGCTTCATTTGCAGCTGTCTGTCTTTGTAAAATAAGCTGATTCTGAAGCTAGTCAGCATGTAATGGTTGCCCATTTCCACCCACAGGTTAAAGAGCTGCTCTGAGCAGACATTAACTACAATAGCTATTGCTTAAAATTAATATCGACATGAGTTTTTGGTAGTTTCCTTTTTCTTTTTTTTTTTTTTTATATAGATTGGGTGGCTTCCCATTCGTAGTTTCTGATTTAGAAATGGCTAAAGGGCAATTCTGCCTAATATTTCACTAATATTAGGTTTGAGGATGTTAATTTGCTGTAATTTAAAAATCAAAATGCAATTAGACTTAAAGCCTATATTACACTATTCCACACTGTTTTCAGGATATTTCAAACACTATGTTTGATTTATGAATTTAAGTAGTCCCAGTTTGAAGAATAATCAATAATATGGCAATTTATTTCACAAATCAGAAAAAAGTTTCAGAAATAACAAAGGGTTTGAATGATGTTACTTTTAGCGTAATAATCTAGTCCAGGTTTGAACAGCGTAGGTATTGTTTGTTTATTACTCAAGTAGAGCAGATTTGACACATGCAATGTAGTTAAAAACACACTTTCAAACAATGAAGTAATTTTTAAGTAATTATAGTGACTTTAATTATTTGGCATCTTGAATTCCTGTATTATTGTATTTGAGCAAATGGTCAAAAATAAGACGTGTTTTATTTTTCAAGTAATCCAAGCCATTGCCAGACACATCTCCATCACATATTGGACCAGCAACAAGAAACTTTGGGAGTTGCAAGTGATGCTGTCCTTCACATCCTTGAGGTAAGAAATTTATATTTATTCATCATAGCACTGATCACAGTCACTAAAAAGTGATTTGTTTTGTGATTGTTTTTCTGACTGTGTTCTAATTAGCAGATGACCCAAGAACTTCGATCAAACAAGGCCACTTTTCAGCTCTGTGATGATCGTGAAACCAACTCCCTGCCAGCCGTTGGAACTGATAGCGTGATGCACGTCATAGTGTGCTGTTACACCTTTCAGCACTTGTGTATGGAGCCATTCCTTTCTGTGCTGCTGACAGAGAACGTCATGCGTGAATGAGACAAGACTCCACATATAAAAGGCTATGGTTGATTGGAAGAAGTTTATTGTGGACTAAGCTCCTATTTTAATATTGTTGATGTCTAATCCCGAGATTTTTTTGCATTGGACAGTTTGGTTTGCGTGACTTACGGCATCTTATGAGTGTGGCAGATGAGTTAGATCTTCATTGTTCTGTCTTTTTACGGGATTGTTTCAGAATCAGATGCATCCAGCCTTTAAATCTGCACAAGTAGTCATGTTTTGTTCTACTGTGTTTATGTGAAACTTAAACATAATAAAGAAGTGAAAAGTAATTGAGCTCATGTCTTCATTCCAACAAGCCGATAACATCTCTTGTTTCAGTCAATTAGATTGTGGATTTTTGCCTTACAATAAGAACCTTGAGTAAAATATGCAATGACAAAATATATATTTTAATCCTTTTGTAACAATGAAAGTAAACTAGTTTTAGATGTTTCAAGAAATTCTATATCAAGTAACATTTTATTTGAGAATATTTTTCTTACAGTAAGATTGTACATCTTACTTATACAAGTAAAATTGGCTTTTTTTAAAGTTAAAATACAACAATGTTACGATATTTGTAGATTCATCTTGGTTAGATATTTTTTTTTCTTGTTTTGGACAATCTTGACAAGATCAATTTTCTTGTTCTGTTGACAGATAGTTTTTCTTATTTTAAGAAATGTATGCCCTATTTCTGTACATTTTCTTTCTTGTTTTTAAAGGGGATTTTTTGCAGTGTATCTATTATGTGCCAGAAATGCTAGACGTTCCACCCTCCCCACACAGGTTGGTGCCCTAGAAGTCAGAAGACTTTCCTCTTGGGGTTTGGAATAGTAAACATTCTTTGTCTGAATGGCATGACTGCAAACGCTGACGGCTGTCTTTTCTCAGCGCCGAACTGTGAACACGAGTAAAACTCTACCTGTCTTGTTCTCCTTTTGTCTCCTTCTTCAACTCAAGCAACTTCCATACAAGATGAACCTTTCAGATCAGGTACTGAGACGGCATTCGGCAGCACACCTCCCACGTCACCTGGGCGCCTTCCAGAAGAGAGAGAGTGAAGCCTAACGTTCGTTTTGTGTTTGTGTGTGAATTCTTATCTTCCAGGGTTCCACTGAGGATGAGAAGCATTTGAGCAAATCTACCTCTCTAATAGAGAGCCAGCACCACCATCTGCTGCACTGTCTGGAGAAAACCACAGTGAGTGCATGGCTGCTGGAGCTTCTGGAACTGAGTACTGTCTTCTATCTGTCATGAATTTCCTTTTTTTTTTTTTTTTTTCCTCATCGCACTAAAATCCATCATCCCTGACTGTAAAATACGTCTAAAAGCTGAGTGTAAAACCTCAGCTGAGCTAATAAGAACTGAGCTTTGCACAGTACAGTACATTTCATTCTGACTCGCTTCATTTAGCTTTTGATACACATTTTCCACTTTATATCTCACTTAGCCAAGCACAAGCAGTTGTTCTGCCATGCTCTGATCCGTGAGGACCCAGACTCATATTTAGCAGCTTTCTTATCTGTGAAAACAAAAACACCACGCAGTAATCAATACGAATGATTTCTTTGTGTGTTTATCTTGTAGGGGGCAAACATTAGCATGAAAACAATTATATTGGTTTCATTAAAAATCAAAATGAATTTGTTTAAAATCCTTTTTGTTTTCATTTGGCGCGCAAGTCAGAAGTTTTATATACTCTCATGTCATATTTTAAATTTTTTTGGACTAATTTGCACAACTTGAAACGTTAATTACTTTTAAATTTTAGAGTTTTTTTTTCAGCAAACCTAAGAGAAAACCCATCAGCAACATCCTAGCATCATTCTATTTAAATATTTGTCCAGTTTTCTCATCACAAATGCCAGAGCTCATTTTAATTGCTCAGGACTCGTCTTTTAATAAGTTCTTTTCAGCTTTTACAAAGACATTGAGAACAACAGTTTAAAAAAGAAAACTAAAATAATTCAAACAGGCCATCACAGCAAGTGTATGCATTGTGAGAGAACTCCTTGACCTTACACATAGATGATGTTTTCTTTCTACTTTTGCCCCATAGAACCACGAGTTTGTAGATGAGCAGTATTATCAGCAGAGTTACCTGGAAGCAGGGCTGCAGAACTATCCGTCTCGAAGCCCTTCGTTGTCCAGCCAAGATGGTGTGACGGGGACGTGCTGCACCCGGAGAAGCAAGAAGCAACACCACACCCCTTTACCGAACGCCAGCGCTCCAGCACACATGCAGCCTTTGACACACACGCACACACACCCACAAGGCTTGCAGGAGCTCAGCACCATCCACATCCAGCCCCTAAGTACCAGGTAAGGTCAGAGGTCCTAAAGGACTTGACTATACCTTGCCTTATCCTGATCCACATGTGTGAAGATGCCATGTTTATCTGCTCAAAGAAGCAATAAGCAAGTATAAGCAGAATCCAGATTCTGCTTTTAAATCTGTGTCCTTGAGCTTTAATGATTTGCAGACCACGAGCAAAGAGTTTCATGTTGAAATGTTGAAGCAATAACTCCAGACATCCACAAGGAAGTTACAATTTGGGGATGAATAGGTTTTGCGAGTGGACAATAATTATAAACATGCTGCCAAATTAGTTAGGTTGCAAAGTCGATAGTTAGAAGAGACCTTCACCTAGCTCTGATCTTTTCCCTCCAGAAAAATCCATGAAGAAAACCTTTACAGGTTTTCTCCATGGAAAACCAAAGTGGCACACATAACTTCCTCAGTTGGAACAGTTCTGTTAGGAGGTTTGGGTGAAAGTATTTCCCTGGGGTCGTTCTAATCAATTTGCTGTTTTTCCTCCCCACAGCCGCTCCAGTTTAAACATGCGCGTAGAAGAGCCAGCTCCTCTGAACTGCCAGGGCAGCCAGATCACAACAGCAATCATCAGCATTCCCACACCGCCAGTGACGACTCCGGAAGGCGATGCTCACCTGCCCGCCGCTCCCACCCTGCAAAATGTGGTGAAGGTGTCTGCTCTGTGAAAACTGGACTGCAGCAACGCCGCACAAACAGACAGAGAACGACTCACAGGAACAGACCGAGAAGGACTAACTATGGTGGAAAGGGCTTTCAGAGACGTATTCTGGCCCTGGTGGAGCCTGCCCCCTGCTGGTGATGCGTTGCATTGGCACGGACTCCCTGTACACATGGAGGATGGACTTCTGACGCAGTATCTTCATGTTAGTGGTCGGCAAACATGTGTTCATATGTGAATGTGTGCGTAAAAGAACAAGAGGGATGGATAGGGAATCATTTAGGAAGAGGACTGTGTGCCTCTAGGTGTCAGAGGTAAGTTCCCAGAGTTAGTTGTGTGTCACTGTGCACAAAAGCACCTTTTTATAATTTATGCTTGAGTTAAGGGGGAATGAGGACAACTCAAAGAAAAAGGGAAATAAAAATAAAAAATAAAAAAAATCACGCCCCTCTGATTAATGCCTTTGAAATAGAGTACTGCCCGTTTCAGCCATTTTGGTCTACAAACCCCCTTTTCAGGTCAAACATTATTCCACCTTAGCATAATTTATTTAAAACCCAAAAAGCAGTAGGTGTCCGTGTGATGGCATTACCAGTGATTGTGAATGAGTGTTTGATAGATTGTAAGTTGTTCTGTTTCTGAAAGGAGGTGCGTCTGCGTGTGTTTGCGTGTGTTCCTCTCGGTTGATTGAAAACTTGTATTTCAGTTCTTCTGGAAGTATCTATGGCTCAGTATATGATATATATAACTAGCTGCCACTTCGAAGGGTTCTTTGCACATATTTCTGTCAAAAATTCTCAGCAGCAAGGGTTTCACTCAGTTTGTGCATAGTTTGCAGGACTAAATATTGGTTTTTTTAGTTATTACTTTGAATCACTACCCATCTGTTTTGGCACCAGAAGCCCAAATGGCCACAAGAAACACAATTTATTTTGCAAAAAAAAAAAAAAAAAAACTTACTATAAATCCAAATCTACACAAAGAAAAGCACAAAACATTTGCTGAGAATTTGCTGACAAAAATCTGCCCTGAGCCTGTGATCTTTGTGAATATTGTTAATAGAATATTTTGTAATATTTGACCATCGTTTGGCAGAAGCAGTGAGTCTGTCCTCTTGTTCTTGCTCTCCTCTCTACATCCTTCTCTCTCTTGTTGTTGTCCTGTTGTATCCCTGACATCTATGTGAACAACAGTATGCTTTCAGTAGTTTTTATAGCCGTCAACATTTTTTTTTTCCTTCCCTTAACTCAGCGAGCATTTTTCAGAGTTGTTGAATATATGTACGTATTCTGTGTGGTTAGCAAACTTGGTGTTTGTACTTTTTGTCCTCCTTGATGTTTCAAAGGTTTTTTGTTTCACTTTATCTTCTGGAGACTTTACAGTAGGCAAATCTGTTGTAAAAACTGACCACAGGGACATTAAAAAAATAGTAGATGAACCATTTTTTGGCCTTTTTCCATATTGAATGTAATTTGTAGGTTTCAGCAACGTTACAAGCACTCGGTTGTGTCTTAGATCATTACAACAGGGAACACCAGCTGACTAAACGCCCACCTCTGTAGATTAAAGGCTCATATCACATTTTGACTTTTCAATTTTGTTTGTACTTGTAGGTGCCACTGACTCTGTCAGTGGCACCTTGCTTGTGTGATTAGAAAATAGCCCTCTTTACATATTTACTTTTACCCACTTTTCTTGCACAGCAAACAAAGATCAAACGACGCTCACTCAGTTATGATTCAATTAAACAATGCCACTAATATGTGATACATATATTACTTTTTTTTTTGTCAAGAAAGAAGTTGTTTTTCTGAGGATCCAGGTGAAACATTATTGTCCAAAATGAGTCACACCTTTAAGAGAGGTGTGGCTCCAAAAGTTCATCTGTGCTAAAATGTTTGCTTTGAAATGTCTTTCACTACTTTAAAAAGCTGGTGAAAAAAAAAAAAACAAAATAACTGATTGTGATTTTGTTATGTTTCAGATTTTCTTGATTTTTAGGTTTGGGACATAGAAATTTTGCTATTTGCCCTTTAAACGTGGTGATTAAGAGCACACACACTAAGCAACAGATTCATGTCTGACTTTTAAAAAGCAATACTAGAACTGCTGGAGTATCTGCACTCCTCCTGTATGTTGTATTTACTTCTGCAGAGATTAACTCTTTTATAGCACCAAGTGTTGTATTAGAACATTATTTTTTTGAAACTTTAGATCAACTTGTCTCTTCTGCTGTATGTCAGTTCTAACTCCTCCAGAAATTAGTAACAACCCAAAAAAAAAGCAAACTAATTCTACAAAACCGCAATCAAATGTGTTTTATTTCTACTTATTAATATTGACCTTGCCCTGAGATTGGTAACTTAGGGCACAAAGATAACAGTCTAGATCCACTATTTGCATTTAGTCAAAATGGCCATATAAAAAAAAATTTACAAGCACAGACACAAAGCTTTTTTGTTATATTTAAAAAAACAAAAAACAATGAAATCAAGAAATTGAATTTACATTAAGAAGCTTAGAGTCTACTGGAATTGAGCAGAACGGGGGAGGCAGAAGCAAAACTCCCTGTTTTTGCCGCTGGGGATATTTTTTAAAACTTGATTCATTTCCTGCTGCTTGTTAGAGGAACAGGTTATTTTATACCAGCTCTACTATCAATTGACACCAGTTGACATTCCATGTAAGCATATGATGCACTGGACATGTCGAAGGGTCACATTTTTATTAAAAAGCAACAAAGATAGGTTCGTGGTTGTGTCCGTCTCTGTTTCGTACTCCTCTCTCTTTCTCTCCCCTTACTCTTTGCTTTGCCCTCCACCTGTTGTTGTTGAGACTACTGCTGTGCGTAACTTGTCATGTGTTGGATATTATTTATGACCTTGTCTTGTGTCCCAACTGTGAAACGCCTGATAAAACATCTATATCTGCCACAAAAACGTGTAGTCTGTGGACTTTTTTCGTCACCTTCTAACCCTTTCTATAAGTCCAAGTGTGTAAATAGCAGGAAATGGCAAGAAGACAGAGCTTCACTGCTTTTTTTTCTGCTCTTCCATAAGTGCCAAATGGTAATTTGCATAAGCTAAAAGCATAAGCTATTAGTTTTAAGAGGTTTCTTTGAATGGAGCAGAAGGGTCACTGAGAATTCAGCCAAAAGTTTGGGTCATGCTTGAGTTACTGCACAAATTGAGTCCCATATGCACAGTGTGGATGAGCAAAATTTGTGTAAAGTGAAATGTTCATTGGTTTTCCTGGTGAAGATGTGCAGAAGCAAGAAAATAAATTAATCCTTGACTGCAGTGCCATAATGTCACTCTAGAAGAAATCTAAATGTCAGCTAAATATGAGCTTTTTCTGTCCTTACATCACAAGCGCTTCTGGGTGGAGATTGCTACATGTCAGCTGGAACATGTTATGTTAAAATGAACCCATGATTGAGCTTTTCAACGGCAAACACTTCAGCTTGGTTTGGCAAATAAATATATGGAAAAGTGCAAGTGAAGGAGCTATGATGCTGTGGGCCAGTTTCTCTCCTAAAGGGAATAGAATCGTTCAGAGTACGGATTAAGCGTCACAGACTCTTTACCAGCACATTTGTCTGTCAAAAATCTGAAATTGGTTGAAATTGGGTTCTTATCTAAAAACATTTGGCTGAATCTATACAGACTGACCAAACTACCTTCTACTAACATCTCAGCTTTGGGGTCAGAACATAGATCAGCTTCAACAACTTTGCATGGTCCAGAGAGATTGTGCAAAGTGAACTAATCAAAAATCCACCTGTATGTATGATCTAGGTTAAAAACAAAGAGCAAATGCTCCTCTTTGCAGCTGGGGCAGCAAATGGTGTCAGTAATTTTATCTAAAGTTATTTGATAATTAAATGTAATATTTTTCTGAATTGTTCAGTCTCAGATAAGGTTTCTGCAATTTTTTTTTATTACTTTTTCACTAGAGTCCAATCAGGAGGTTTCTGTTTTTATTCTAAATGCTCCTGTTCAACTAGGAAATTTATTGGCAGAACATTTTGCAGCTGCAGCCCTCAGCATGATTGCGATCTACATTAAATGATAAAGCATTTATGAATCACTGTTGGTAATGACTCAGATCAGGTAATGACAGTGACCAGTCGTTTTCAGGTTCACCAATATATTGGAAAAACTGCTAGGTTTGCAATTATAAAACTGAGAAGTTTGCAATTGTGGTGACTCGTGTTTGATTTATGTGAGAAAATATGCTTAATGTTTCCTGATTTTGTGGGAAGACCATTGGCTTTTTCACAACGTCCAGCGCACAACTGCATGGAAACATTCCAGAACAAGATCACAAGGCCATTATGTGGACAGGAAGTCGTTGTCCAGCATGGAGGCAGTGGCCTGCTGAGAAGGAGCAGGGACACTGCCGGCCTCAGCTGGACCCCAGACTGTCGATGTTTCCTTAAACCTTTGATTATGAGCAGAATGGACAATACAAACAAACCAGCACTCTGCATGCTCCCTGCCTTACTGTTATCTACATGTCTCAGTGCGTAAATGACATATTCAGTTACAATTTATTTCTGCCACAATAAATTATTTTTAAATTAGCTCCTAAATTTCTTCCAGTTTGCCTCCCGCTCTTGTTCAGGCAGCTTAAGCAAGTAACCCAAATTCTGAAAATAAAACTCAAAACTCTGCTTCTTCTGCTCTGTTTTACAGTAAAAGGCAGTTGTTTTCAATCACCTCATGCCGATATTTACCGTAAAGCATTTTGACACGCCTACATGGATGAACGATGCCGGGTGTACAGCAACAGCTGCCGTTCTCTCCCACAGAGCAGAACAGAGAAAAGCAGCAGCGCGCCTGCAGAGCGCTTCAGGAAGTCCACAGCGGCCGAGACGAACAGCAGGAACTTTTGACTCTGCATCCTCAACTATCCTCTTCATCATCAACACCCCGAGGATCTTTTAGAAGCTCAACAATCCTGTCTCATTAAAAAATAAAAATAAAATCAAAACGGAAAATCCTTTTTGCCTTCACAAGGAGGGGTCAGTGATGAAATGTTTATGCAGATTTAGATTTTTTTAAGGCTATTGATGTGTTGAAAAGCAGCTTTGCTTGTTTTTTTTATATATATATTTTATTTCCCATGGCTCAGATTAGGTAAGATATTACAGACATCTCTTTCACATATTTCTAAGAAATCCTGCCGCAGTTACTGTTTATTCTTCTGCTTAAATCAGAAACACAAAATGCTTCAGGTGAAGAAAAGATCTACCACTGACTGGATGAATCGGTAGAAAGGTTCCCCTGTAATCAGGGGAAGGAGGAGAGGAGCCACGGGTTAAACGTCTTCTGGCCATGTACACCATGCAAACACAGCATACACTGATACGACTTCAAGTCAAAAACAAAAAGCCTGACTGTACAGAATGGGATTTGAAATACTGTAAATAGTTAGTCAGGACGATTTATTACAAAAAATAATTGAAAATATAGATGTGGTATGAATTAACGAAGGAATACAGAATTGGAGTGCATCATTTCGACCCAAACCTTCTTGTTGGGTTTGCAGACATTTTCTACCGTAAATGACTGGAAATGCTGAATTAGTGTTTCATGAGTTCCTGCATGTAGATTGCATTCATGCGATACGCTGCCATCCAGTTGTGAGCGACGCTGTAGTAGCTCTGGTAGCCCTGCTCTGGAAAAGCGGACAGAGCAGAGTAGTAATCGCTCCAGGCCTCATAGCAGGCTTTCCAGTACGCCTCAGAACTCCAGTCCTCCTCGACCTCCATGCACTCCTCTTCATCAGTCTCCGTCTTCGACTCTCTTTTAATCTTCTCCGGCAACTTTTTGTCGTCTTTTACTTTTGCTGGCTTTTCCCTGCGATTCTGCCCCGACGTGTTCTGACTGGGTTGCTTCCTTCTTACAGACTCGTTGCTCTCAGGCTGAGTTGGAGCTCTGGTGTTTGTTGTGCAGGTTTCTTGCTCATAGACTCCGGTTGTAGAGGATTTGGGCACGGTAGATGCAGATCCAGTCACATGCTTAAAAACTGTCTTTTGCACAGTCACTGTGGTCTCATGCAAACCTTCGGGTCTGACACCAACATCTGAGCTGCAGGAATCAGAAAGCGACCATAAACGTTCACTGCTTCGGGTCAAAGTCGCGGCCCCGTCGTCCTGCAGTGTGACATACTCATTGTAGCCAGTCTCGTCACCAGACTCTCTGCCTCTGAACTCCCTGATGACCTCCACTGTCCTCCCCAAACCTGCAGTGATGAAGGTGTGGAAGTCCAGCTCAGCCTCCTCCATCGTCACAAACTTTGAGCGGCTGGTCTTGAATGAGCTGAGGGGCGGGATCTTCGGCAGGGCGTCTTGTAGTTCTTTCCGGGTTGGCGCCACTTCAGAAGGATGCTGCTGCTGCTGACTCTTCATCCCAGTAGAAGTCACCTGGCTTTCACTTTGTTCTTCATGCTGTGGTGTCCAGGTTGCCGTTTGGGTTTTATCTGGCCTTTGATTGCTGGACTCTACAGATTTATTCCCGGTGACGTCAGACGCTGGGGCTCCGACCTTTGTACGCTTTTTCTTTACAGTTCTGGAAATCAGCAGCGAGATCGTGTCCGGAGCGGCAGCATCGGCGCACACGTCCCAGTCGCATGGCTCGTCCATCAAACCAGGCTCCAAGACGGCTGTCATGACACCAGACGAGAATCACTTTACTTGATCTGCTTTCAATTAAAAGTCTTAAAAAGTAAGACCAAGTTTCTTACGAACTCACAAGGTAAAGCAGACAAACTGAGGCCACACTTCTGAGCAATGGCCATCATCTTGTTCTCCTCTTCCCCATGGCAGCAGTAGGTCACAGCCATCCCCTGAGTGCCTACAATCACAGGCAGATCATGAAGAGGACCCCCATGCTAGCAGGAGAGGGTCAAAGAATGAGTGAAGGTTGTGTAACGAGGGACACTGACAGCGCATGTAAGCTAAGATTAAATAATGCTTCCCTTTGCAGCACCGTGGTTGGGTCAATGTAATTCTAATCAGATGCAGATTACCCAGAACCCTTTGAATAAGGCCAGTGTTTAAAAGCTGCTGATACAAAGGGGATACAAAGCTCATCTCCAGAACGATGTTTAATGCAGTAACTGTCGGGCAAATTAAATTTGTGGTTCGGTGGAAATTTTGCTTTGTCAAAAAAAAGAAAGCAACATCACTTGCTAAAGATCTGGATCAGTGAATAAATAAAGCAGGGATGAGGAAAATCTTTTTCTTAACATCTAACCAAAAAATGGTTTCTATTGGGGTTTTGTATGAAAAACAAACACACAGTGGACGACTGTGAAGTGGGAGAATAATATAGTTTCACAAATCTGTATTCATTTGTTCATTTACTCCAGTAGCACTAAATGAAACCTAAAACACTGGAACCTCACACAGCTCTCTTCAATCCACCAGTGAATATCTTTAAAACAATGTTTTATTTTTATTCCACTTGACAACGATTTTGTGTTGATCTATTACACAAAATCATAATGAGATATAACATTTGGGATTTTTGTTTGCAATGTTTTGTAATTGTTCTGTTTCCATCCTGCAGGTCTGCAACATGACTGTTAGTTTCCTGGGAAATGTGAAGCACACAGAGTTGATGCTGCAAGGATGATGCAACCTCTCTGCAAACAGCCATTTCTCCTAAAACATCATCAGCCGCCTGGGCCATTTCTCCTAAAACATCATCAGCCGCCTGGGCCAATATAATAGCTGAAGGTCAAGCAGCACACATTTCTGTTTCCCTTCAATTGATGGAGACCTACCAAACCGCCCAGCGCGTCCGATTCGGTGCATGTAGGTTTCCCAGTCTTGTGGCACATCTAGGTTGATCACCAGGTTCACTTTCTCTGCATCTATTCCCCTGGAAGTCTGCCTCAGATGAAAGGGGGCCAGAACCAAATTTATTCACGTAGAAAGGCAGAGGACAGCTAACAAACACATGCAGCTCCAAGATGAGAGTGACTCGTGGAAAACCTCTCGTCTCACCAGGTCGGTGGAGATGAGAACTCTGCACTGATACTGCTTCAGCTTGGACATCGCCTCGAGCCTCTGGTCCTGACTCAAACCACCTGCAAGGATCAGAACTTATGTTATAAGTCACTGCAGTTCACATCACAACTATTATTTCCACCTATGTTGATTTTCACTACATGAAGAATGTGATGAAGAAGCATATTTTTGATTATCCTGCTGAGACAGTAAATTGTGTGGCCCGATGAGCCCAACTACACGTTCTGGGACATCTGTGTGTCGTTTTAAACGTCAGAGCCAATTTGACTTAACTGTTGACTTCTTGAGAGAAAGTGGTCAACGCTTGCGCAATCATCAAATGGCGGATGTCTT